ATGATCATTCGCACTCTGTATGAATCCCAACCTCAGAATGGTTAACTGAAACTTACAAACAACAGGATGCAACTTTCAACGTGATCCAATCTTCGAAAGGTACACCAAATCCAGATTAATTGAATGACAAAGACCTAACAAAGACTTAAATGTGAGAGAAGGTCTCATAACTTTCACATTCCAAGCCAAAATCTCATTTGGGCGATTGGGGCCACTCATGATTGGCTTCCTCCACCAGTTCTTGAATCTTTTCAGTACCACTTTTCTAGCAAGCTCTTGTAATTGGTATTGGGTCCTTGGAAATATCCTCCACGTTCTTCATCGATCGCTTACAATCATCAACATCATTCTCATCGGTAACTTTGAGCCTAAAAGTCAGCTTCATTCGTCCAATCTGATATGCTTTCATCCCCTGGATTTCTCCATCACGAGCCTCAGCATCCCTCTCACCTAGATCTTGAATCACAACACCAATATTCATGTGACAAGGTTGTTCCTCCATAGGGTTTGTCCACCATTACTGCCTTTCCCTTATTTTCGTATCATATCGACATTGAGAGCCACCCATCTGGCCTTTATTCCACATTGAATCACAGGCATGAGCAGGATTTGGTTACTGGGTAGGACGCTACAAACTTGCATCACCACTCTCCATTCCTCCCTGTGAAGCACCATGCCCTCGACTACTACACAGAGAGGTTGAACCACGACCAGCTTATGCAACACAAGCAATCCACATTTGAAAGAGTAGTTGCTTGCCTTCCAACACCTTCAGCAGTCGGCCACTCCTGCATGTTAGGCCTCCCACCTCTATTGTGGACCTGACTCCTCTTTTTGCACATGAACCTGCCTTCCATTATGCGTCGACATCCCTAGCACAATCGGGCACTAGTTGATAGGATCTTCTTCCTCCCTCACCATCCACTTCTCAGACTTGCTCACCGCCACCATTACCATACGTATCAAGATTCAAGAAAACATTTTTATGTAATCGCAGCAACAAATGTAGAGGCAAGAGTGTCACCTCAGCGAGACGATGTTGTGAAATTTCAGTTGTGAGCTCCATAGCGTATTTTTACTCGCCCATTGAATCTTAATGAAAAATTCTCTCCATACTCCCAAGTCTATCACAATGATAGCAAAACAACGATAGTCTTTCATATACCAGAATTACCGAGAACCTTCCCATTGTAGAGTTGTTAGCAAATATCTTATACTACAATGGTTTCATAATATTGACATGCTTTTGATATGTACCAGTATGCATTACGTCCCTTACTAGTATGCATTTGCGAGAAACTTATATGCATTTGGTAGTTACTAATAATGCATTCAAGCAATATTAGTATACATAGGATGATTAATGGTGTGTATTTGTTGGAAATTGTGGTGCCTTTATTGGAACCTAATATGCATTTTTCTAATAATGGTATACATTAAGAGAATAGAGATATGCATTCACCTGCCATAACTTTGATGCCAATGATCTGAAATTGGAAGTCATAAATTAAAATTAAAAGATATACAATTGACGCAAATTTATTTATTATATATTTTCATTTAACTCCTCTTTTCTAGGGTGTTTAGGCTCCAGATTATTCACCACTTCATTATTAAATCTCAACCATTAGATTTATCTAATGATGAGATTAAATCATTTGTTTCTTGATAAGTTTGTATTGTTTTATTTTAATTTTAATTCTAAATTTTTGAAATAATCAAACATATTAAACATGATATACAATCTAATATAATTTTTTTTATAACAACAAATTTTTTTCGCGAGATCATAGAAAGTACGCTACGAGTATATTTATCCAATTATGAGATTAAATCATACTGTTCATGAAAAAGTCATTAAGACGTGATGCATACATGTTTTTCTTTCGAAATCTATCAAAATAAATATTATTTTATAAAGTACAATTAATACATTTTTATGAAAAAAATTAAAAAACCCCGAGTTAAAAGAAAGCAAATGTATGATGCATAAGTTTATATAGGTCGGATAATTCCGACAGGTTATCTTATGCTAACAAAATACAACTTGTTTCTTCAGTGCTAACGGGAATAGTGAACTATTGGATGAATGTGTTTATTTTGACAAAAAAAGGTTTAAAAAAAAGAGCAGAAGGTTTTGCAATGACTTCATTTGGCATGTGGTTGATTCATGTAGAAGTGAAGTTGTATGGGATACAATGCCATTGTAAAAGGAAGATGGTGGTTTGGAAATTGAGAGAATTAGGTTCTTGAAACTTAGATTGCACAACCAGAATGCTTTGGCTACAACTGCAAGAGGGGACTCTGTGGGTAACTTGGGTAAGCTCATATCGGTTGAAAGGGGGCTACTATATGGAATTATGCAGGAAGATCTCAGGGGTCTTGGATTTGGCATAGATTGCTCAAACATGAAAGCATTTTCCCAGTATCATTTCAGTGTTGGCGACGGAAATGTGTTGTGGACAATGTCCTAATGCCTCAGTTTTCGACAAGGAAGGTATGGATGACAATATGATCACAACATTCATGATTGAGATGGCGGATTTAATCTGGAATAAGTATACTCCCCCATGGTGTTGTGTAATTACTTGGTTAGCGATACTTGGGAGGGTGATAATGAGAGACAAATTGATTAGATGTGGAAAGCATGTCCCAAATAGATGTGTATTGTGTGTCTCTGGCTCGAAATCGAAGGACCATCTATTTTTTGCTTATCAAAATACAAGGTTGTGTTTTTTCAAGTTCTCGATCAGGATGTAGTAGACAACGGTGAATGGCTGGCAAATCTGCTATGGAGAATGGTGGTAAGTGATGTATTGAAGGAAAGGTGTAACTGTGTGCATGGCAGCCCTCTACATCCAGCAACAACCCTTGCAGAAATAATTATTATGATAGTGCTATAACAACATAAATAATTCAATGGAAAAAAGTGTACATACCAATATCACAAATATGCAAACATGATCTTAAAAACATACTAACCCGATAAAAAATGTATATGACCCAATAATAAAAGAATATACAAACCAACAATACAAAATACACGAACAATATAATAAGTTTATACAAATTAGTATACAAAGTAAACATAATATATGATAAACATATGATAACCGAATAGACAAAATATGCAATCACATTATAAAAGTAGATAAGTATATACTCCATAAAAGTATACAAATATTACAAAGTATACAAATCATATCATAAAAGGTTACAAACCAATAATAAAAAGAATATTCAAACTATATAAAAAAGTATATAAATCATAATGACATTTGTATACAAAGCATACTAACCATATAAATTATCACTACCCACAATTCAAACTATAGGACTTGCATTACAAACCAATAATACAAAGTATACAAATTACATTATAAAAGTATATAAATAAGATTGATATTATATACAAAGTATACTAATGGTACAAAATGCAATTACTTACAATACAAACCACATCGTAAAAGTATACAAATTAATATTACATAGTATACAGACCATATCATATAAACATACAAATCAAACTAACAATGTTTATCAAGCATACCAAACATACTAACAATAAAAAATAACACTACTTACCATAAAAAAAACTTATAGGACTTGCATTACAAACCAATAGTACGAAGTACACAAACCAAATTATAAAAGTTTACAAATTAAGATTACAAAGTATACAACCACATCATAAGAAGTATATAAGTGATAGTAACATTATACACAAAGCATATTGTTTGTGTCTAAATGAGTGTAGGAGTGAGGCACGAGAGATTAGGGTTCGAGTGAGAGGATGGTTCTTCTATTCTGTGAAGAGATTACACAGGTTTAGGGAGAGAAGATTTCTAGAGGGAGAAGTTTTTTGTTGTAGATAGGGTCCGTAAAAATTGATCCCTCACCCACCGGAGTCCGGAGTAAAGGCTCCATTTATAGGCTTTACTTTCGGTAGGTGAGCATTAAATGCAAAGTGACATTTGAACAAGTGGGAGGTATGGGCTCTAACGACGCCTGTCTCGAGACATGAGTCCTCTCCGGCGGTACGACACCATTATGCACTCTTCTTTCCCCGGATAGTCGTTTTTGTCCGCTTCGTGCCTTGGATATTCTCGTCTACGTTGTTTGCTTCTGCGCGTCTATTGGCGCGCCAATACTTGTGTGATTCGAGACGCGCTAGTACGCGTGCCATATCCCCAACAATTGCCCCCCCCCAATAGGGGTAGTTTGAGACTATCCCTTGTTTCCTTTGTGTGATGGGGCGGGTGAGTAGCTCTGCGGGCCCATCTGTGCAAGCTCGACCAAAAATGGTCTTTCTTCATAGTTGCTGAAGCCTCATAGGCGAATCATTATTTGTTAATTAGCACAAAATTAATTTTTAATTTGAAAGTTAAATGTTATATTACTTGTTGGATTTAAGTATGTATGTTTAGATGTTTATGTTATTTGTTAGATTCAAGTATAACCATTTGGATGTTGGTTTTAAATATTGTATATATATGATGATTTTTTTTATCTTGTGTGGATTGTATTTAATTTTAATATGAATGTAGATTTTAGAGAGATTATCGCTTATGTTACATATATGCCTATTAGTGTTAATAATTTTTTACTTTCCTACATGTTTTGTTAGAAAATATATGAGTTGACAAAAACCGATTGCTCTATCGGTCTGATCCTACCACTTGTCAAACCAGTATAACGGTATAAACCGATTTGACAATCATGACTCAAAGTGTGTGTGAGAGAGAGAGAGAGGCATATTAGTAAAACATACATAAACTAACATAAATTATGTACGAACCGACATAGCGGTTGAACTATACCACTTATCAAACCGACATAACGGTATAAACCGGTTTGATAACCTTCGAGAGATGGTAGGACATAGTGGGTGGGCCTATTAGTAAATTCCCAATGGAAGAACACAAATAATAACCTCCGGTTTTCTCGCCACCTGCGAGGGCCATTGTTCCGAAACAATGGAAAACCCCCACTATAAAACCCCATACGAAAAAAAATACAATAAATGGGGAAATGAGCAAAGGAACAGAGAAGGAAATCTACTGTCCCTGTGTAGCCTTAGAGTTAGAGAGAGAGAGTGTGTGTGTGTGTGTGTGTGTGTGTCTGTCTTTTGACTCGTTTGCTCGCTCCTCACCTGCACAGTTTACTGCATTCCCTGTTGAACTATACTACTCCTGACATTTGATCCCAATGCGCGTTTTGGGGGAGTGAATGAAGTAGTAGTAGAAGAACAGAAGAAGAAGAAGAAGAAGAAGCAAAGAGTGAAGAAATGCTTTGTTTGAAAGCAGAAGCTTATGACGACCGCGACCTCGATCTCGACCCAACCATCAAGCCCGCCGATGCTTCTTCTTGCAATAATAATAATAAGATCAATGCATCTCCAGATGCTTCTTCTACTGGCTTTCTTCTCCCCATCAATTTGTACGTTGCTGCATTTCCTATTTTCTTTTGTACTTCCTGTATTTCATTTGATCAATGTCAGTTTTAGCTTCAATGCCTTATATGGGTTCCATTTCTTATTGATTTGTTTCTGGGCAAGTTCATTTTTTGTTTGAATGTGGGAAAGGCTTCGACTTTCTTTTGTTGATTGCTGTTGTTGTGCCTTTGTGCAGTGGAAGTTCCCTCCATAAGTATTTCTGGAAGATGGGTAAAATGTCCACTCGATCTATCTCCTCCGGAGACGGCTCCCCTTCATGTTCAGTCTCCGATTTTGAGGTATTGCCTCTTCTCACACAGTTAAAACACTGGCAAATGTGTGCAGCTAACTAACCCACCAATTGCATTTCTGTTCCTTTTCCCCCTTCTTTTTATGCGCTTTGTTGTGGCTGTGGGGCTCCCCTTAGGGAAACTCCAAATTCTTTCCAAACCACGGAAAGGAAAGGAAATGAAATGAGATGGGGTTCTTCCTTTTCAGCTTCTGGCTTGTGGATAACAAACTTTTGTTTGGTCCCCCTTATTACTGTCGTTGTAGACTTACAGCTTTATGGCTCTTCCCAATACTTAACTTTTGTCATGAATCATGATTTCTGTTAGTTTGTCCTCTTTCTAGTTTGTAACGCACTGATGAGATGAAAAAAGATATCGACTTATGAAATGGAAAGTGACATTGCCCCCATGCAAACCCTCCTGTCATTTTTGAGGGCCTCTTTCTCAGTTGCTCACTTCCTTCCAGTTATCTATGCCTAGCTCAATTTAGTTAAAACTTCCAAAGGCAGCCTGTAATTAAGCACTACATCTGCTTCCTAATGTCACATACAGCATGGGGTATCATGACATCCTTTTCTTTGGTTTCAATTGCAATGGCTTCAACGTTCTTTGCCTGTGATTTTTTTTCTCAAGTTTGTAACGGCATTCTGTAATCAAGTGTGTACCATTCAACCAAGACAAACCTGTTCACTGCTTAAGTGGAACTTATCAACTAGTTTTCTGAAGTTACTGGGTTGTCTTGGCCTGCTTCACGGACATCTTTGATCTTAGCTGCTTCATAACAAACCATGCTGATCTGCGACAATCAACCTTTAGTTCTCTATATTGGCACAATGAAGATAGATCAAGAGTTTCAATCAATTTTATGTTCAGGATATTAACTCACAAGAGCGAAAAATCCCCCCGGTGCAAGACATAGATATCTCTGTTTACAAGCATCAGCTTGAGCAAGATGTAAGTCGAGTCGAGATAACATAGTCTTATATATATTCAATTCTTCCCTCCCATTGTTGTTGTAACTACTTGTAACTGAGTTTGCTATTCCTGTTTCTTGAACATCTCAGGTGAAAATGCTGCAGCAGCAGTTGCAAGAAGAGATTGACTTGCGCTTGGCCCTTGCAAATGCTGTTGAACATTCTAACTCGTCTTCTGATTCACCTTGTCAACTTCCAGATAAAGTCATTGTCTTTCCATTCTTCTTGAATTTTCTTCTTGTCTCAAGCTTCTTGGTTGATGATGTTGTGCCTTATGTTAGTTTCTCGATCCATTCTCACTTGATTCCTTTTCGTCTACACACCAGGCACAAGAGCTTTTGGATAGCATAGCTATCCTTGAGGATAATGTGATAAACCTTGAACAGAAGTCAGTTGCCTTGCAATATCAACTCAGTCAGGAGAGAAATGAGCGCCGTATTGCTGAGTACCGTTTGAGGCATTTTCCCATTTTAGCGTCCTCCATGTTTGATACTTCTCAGTCCAACTTACCAGAGATGGTTTGTTTATTTCTGATTATCTTATATTCGTTTCCTTTTTTCATTAAATGAATTTGTTACCGTCTCCTACAAGTAATTATTCTCGGTACATTCACCTAGTAGGTTATCTACCCTCAGAAACCATTCTTAGCTCATCAATAAAGTAGCTTGTGTCACCTTTGATTGTGTCATAGTATGATGAATGAATCTGGAAATTGAACAGCCCAAAATTTTGCAGATCATTAGACCTGGCAGCAGAGAGAAACTAGAAGGAAAGATGGAGGAGAAGCCTCCATGGTCAGAGTCAGTCAACGAGCCAAACAAGGATTATTTTGTGGAGAAACTATGCCACCGGCCAAACCAGCTTTCAGAGGCCATGGTCTTGTGCATGAGAGACATTTTTCTCTTTTTGGCGGATTCCTCCAAACTCTCTTCTTCAAAGTCTAGTGTTGCACCATCTTCACCTTGTGACCAACTACCCCATCCCTCTCTGCCATCATTCTCAGACACAAACAGGGATGATTCCTCAACTAGAAGTCCCATATTAGACAAGGACCAGGTCTCTGGAGTCTCAACAAGATCTTGCAAGTTCGACCCATATGGAGTTCCTGGTAAAGTAGAATGGAATGAAGGTATTGGAGCTTACAGCAACGCTGTTGAGGTCTCCTGGTTGTCGGTTGGGAAGAAAGAGCTTGAATATGCTTCCGGCGCTCTCAAACGATTTAGGTTGAGTAATGTGCTTTTATTGCATTACTTACAGTTTAAACTATTTGCTAGAATGACTGTGCATGTGATGTCTGCTTTCCTCGTTGAGCTTTGAGAGTTAATTTTACTTGGTTTGCTTGTGTACAGGTTGCTTGTGGAACAGTTGGTTGAAGTTGACCCATCACGCCTTCTTTGCCATGAAAAGCTAGCATTTTGGATCAATGTGTACAACGCATTGATCATGCACGTACGCTCCTTTCACACTTATGCCCTCAATTTTTCCTATGGCATATTTTAGTCTGCTGATTTTTTCATTTACATACTTTCCTTAGGCCCTCAATTGGGGACTTGCTGCTACAAACAATGTCCTATGCATGTGAATTACAACTTTTAGTTTCATATCACCATGTCTGATATCGCTCGTTCCTTCCCTGAAGTCTCTGTTAAATTATTTACAGGCCTTCTTAGCATACGGAGTTCCAAGAAGTGATATTAAACTATTTTCCTTAATGCAGAAGGTTTATTGTTGTCCCTTCTTATGCTCTGAATGATCTTGTTCTTCCCTTCTGTACTGTTTTTGTTTAAACTAAATCCGGGGAACTGAACTGCTAGCTTTGCAGGCTGCATACACAATTGGGGGAAACTCAATCAGCGCTGCGGATATTGAATACATCATCCTAAAGATGAAGCCTCCAGCACATCGACCTCAAGTAGTAAGTTTTACTTTCATTGGCTTCCCTTACAAAGTTACAATGCATCCAGCTTGTGGGCATAGGATAAAGGAGTTATTAGTACTTTAGTAGTATAATTTTCATTATAAACATGACATGCTGTTACTTTGATACAAAACTCCACGGCGTCTAGTTGCAAATACTACAAAGATGTTAGGTTTGAACTTTGTCATCAATATCAAGGTGTTAACTTGCTTGTACCCTGGAGGAACATGCCCTTGTGCTTGGGAAAACGTCCTGAATTTGTTTGCCTGTTATGGTATGTTGAGTGGAGTTACATCTTACGCCCATCACTACGACGTGCAGTCGTTTGTCCTTGCTCTTCAAAGGCTGAAAGCAACCGATGAGTTGAGGAAGTTTTCAATCAATCAACCAGAGCCCCTACTGGCTTTTGCTCTAAGTTGTGGGATGTACTCTTCGCCTGCTGTAAGTACTGACTCTGCCCCTATTGTTCCCCTTGCACCCGGAGTTCGGTATTAAAATGAAAAACCATGTCAGGGAAGCTATGTAAATAAGAACTTGTATTCTTAACTCTGTACTATGGAGTTTAGCCAAGTTGTGTTTTTTATAGGTGATATAAGTGAGCAAATTCAAATCTCTTACAATGAATGAAACAACTATTTCCTAAAAATATTAAGAATTGTGCGGGGCATAAACAACCAGGGGTGTTTGGTTTGGTGTACTTATAAATCAATGTTGTTAGTCTCAATTGCGCATTACTCATCTCGTATTTTATCAGTGAAAATGATGAATGTGCTTGTCTGCATGCTATCACATTTTACTCTCCAAATAAAACCGACCAAACGACATAAATTCAAAGTTGCATTGTGGTGTCAACTGTTTCACAATCACATATAACTATGAGTATGAAGAGATTGGTGAGATCAGACTTGTCTACCGGACTAGTAAACCTAGCCAAATTTTCTGTGATGATGAATAGGTGCGGATCTACAAGCCCGATAATGTAAATGAAATGCTTCAGACCTCATTGAAGGATTATGCACAAGCATCGACTGGGATAGGCAGCAAGGGCAAGATATTGGTGCCAAAGTTGCTGCATTGTTTCGCAAAAGGAATGGTGGACGATTCACAATTGCCAGAGTGGCTAACTGAGTTGCTCACAGCAGAGCAAGCTGCCATGGTGAAAGACTGCTCATCCAACCGCAAGTGGAAGCTGCTGGGCGCACGAAGCTTCTCCATCTTGCCTTTCGATTCAAGGTTCCGATTTCTCTTCCTGCTGTAGTTAGAAGTGTAGAGTGGTACCAGTGTCAAAGAGATGCTTTACTACTCCACGAAGGGGTAATATATAGAACACGAGCCCATTGTTGGTAAGAGTCCACGCGACGGAAACGCAAATCTGGATGTCACTTAGTTTTGTACTTTCTTGCCGTCGTAATCTCGATCTCTGTAAGAACATAATGAGTTCAATACAACAATAAGCGTTATCTTTGTCTTGGGGCCTCTCTTTTGGGAACAAGAAACTAAAATTCCATCATGTTTAAAGCATAAGAACTCTTCTACTTGACAAACTTGCTGTAACAAAATTTAAGGTAGCTACAGATGGAAAAAAATTGGCATGGGATAATGTAACATCAAATGCATTCTACATAGCATTGCATAATGAAAATACTTTTGACACAGTGTACAAGGTCTTTTTTTCGTATTCAACGTGCACGCAAGCAATTCCTGCCCTTCCAGCAGAACCAAAGTAGCAGCAGTCAGCAGTATAGGTTTGTCCTTCACTATGGCAGTAGAGCTTTCAATTGCATCCTGAAAAGATCACCAAGCGCTCCACGAACATCCAACTGAATAGAAGGAAAACAAGCCCAAGGTTAAGTTTCACAATCTATTTACATTTATTTCCCAATCCTCTCTTTTCTATGTTTTAGGAAGGAAGTGATTGTTTTAGCAAGTTTTGATGCAAATAAACTAACCCTGCTCGTTAACAGAGAATATATATGGCCATACCTGATCACAACAAACAAGCTTTGTCAGCAACGGATAGAACTCTCGTAGATGTCTCTTGAAGATCTGGTGGTTCATGTAGCACATGCCTTTAAGCACCTGAAATATATTTATTTTTCATAGAAATGAAAACAGAGAGATCTCTATGTCAAATAATATGTTCCGTCTCTAGCTTCACGCACATACATAGTATAACAGGGGGCATCGTCACCATACCCGAACAATGACGGGTGAGCGTAACTCTAGAACTCGATGAATGTCCATGTTTGTTGGTTCTCCTACACCAGACTGAAGTTCGGATGCATCTCTCAGTACCTGCTCACAGAATGAAACCAATTTTTCCTCTGCTATCCCTTGAAGCTTCTCTTCCCAACTAGATTGTCCACTGGGACTTGAACCATTTTCTGTCAGTGATTCCACTTTTTGCTCCTTGTTTGTATCTAAATCTGAAGTAGTTTTCTGTAACACGTCTAGGTAAACGCTTGTACCAACCAATTCTTGGCGAAGGAGATTAAGAGGAGGCCTGTCCACGCACAAATTATATGAAGACAGTCTAAATTGCAAAGATCGTCACTAAAAGTCTAAAAATAAGAAAAAGGAAGAAAAAAAGGTGCAAAGATTTCCTTGAGCACCTTTCATCTGGAACATGGTGCATACGCATTCTGAGGGTGGGATATGAATTGTATGAAGCGGCAAACTCTAACATAGATAACAGAACATCCATTATAGCAACCTTCTGTTGTGCCACCAACTTGCTCCAGTACTTCTTCTGCATGGGGGGGAAAAGGGCAGCGGACTTCACTACGATTGAAAATAAAACTCGGAACCGCAAAATGTACAGCACGAATTTAACTGTTTCAGGAGAACTGAAAATAGACTATAAATTAGAAAGAACTAGAATTAGGGATAGCCTCAAGTTTAAGATTCCATGCTTGTTGAAGAAGAAAAAAACCTCAAAAGTTGTTAATATCATAAAAACATAAGATCAAACCTACTATACCTGTATACCATCAATAGCTCCAAGAAGCAATAGTTGAGTGATGCACTTGCCCCTAATGGCAGCCATCAGTGGGCTTTCTTCTTCATCTCTGATATCCGACTCCACAGCTTCAGGAACCTAAACAAGCGTATGGATAAGCCAAAAGAAATTACGAAACAGGAGAGGAAAAAGAAGACAACAGGGAAACACAGAAAGAAGGTCTTTGTTATGTCAGCTTTTGAACCTTTCCTATTAGTTCCACTGCTTCACCCCTTACAACTGCTCCGTCTTTTTATATGAGCAAGCAACTACTTATTGGCAACTATATAAAAACACGCACAGAATACTGAAAGGCCAACATTTCGAGAAGCAATGGAGAGAAAAGGAAGAACAACCAAACCTGAATAGGAGAAGATGGTGCAGAGGCATCCGGAGGAGGAGCCCTGGATTTGGAGGTAAGATTTCTGAGGAACAGATTGTCCATCACATTCCCCATAATTTTCTGACCCAAAGTTTGAGTACGCTGCAGGGTCTCAGGTTTATGTGCTCTTCCAGATGGAGATGGAAGACCTACAATAACATAACCAACCATGAGGTGAATTGAGCAGATCTTTTATTTGGATTCTGTTGTACCATAACAGAGCATAAAAAGCTGTCGGATGGAATAATGGCAAGGATCCTAAATTCAACCAGAGTTAAATACTTACAAGGATGATGAGTACAAACATCAAACAACATTTAACATAACAGTCTGTCGGCTACTAATTATTCCCATAACTAGAGTATCCCCACACTTGATGCAAAAGAAAGACAAAAGCATAATCTTTTGAATGAAACACAACCAAAATGACACGAGAGGTACTCTAAGTTAACCTAATGGATTGATTTAGAGTCTAACCACAACCTCATAAATGAGATTGTTGCCTCACAAAATTGTCTTTGTCTTTTAGATATCTCGCACCATATTCTCTTAACTCGGTCTATCAAGAGATATGGACAACTCAAGTTCCTTAACTTGCAGAATTCTATAATTTCTGCCCAAATTGAATTGCATAATTGGGTGCCTGAGGCTTCATCTTCACCCTCACCTTCACGCACCTGATTAATTTTCAGATGCAGTAGAACCTATTAATCAATGCGATATCAACATATGAAATGGCAGTCTATAAATATTAATCATATCATGAAATATGAACAGAAAATGACTCTGCATCTATTATACAGAAGGTCATCTGCTGTGGACCACTATTTATTCCATTTAACCCACATATCCATATGGAATCACATCTGAACAGCGATTTTCCATCTGACACAGTAGCAACAATGGGACAATGGGAATTCGAGTGTCCAGAGACCAGATCTACATACATAAACTTAATTCCATTCAATATCATCTTTGAACACTGAATGAACCAAGAACCTAGTTGCCATACACACTAATTTCCCTTGAATGACTACCTTGAGAAGTTAAAAAGCCAAACCATTTGAACTGCAGTTTGGACATCAAATCTTACACGTCCAGAGGCTCATAGTTCGATTATTTTAATGTATGAATTGATATGTATTGGTGGAAAAAATGGGATACTGAAAGTTGGGAGAAACTAACCCTCAGATCCATCAACTTTACTTTGTGAGCCAGGTTCTTGACTATGATTGAGGAGCATGCGTGCATTGACATTACCACCCATACCCTGAGCATCCATCTTCGGTGATGGCAAGGGAGATGTCCTCCCTGTATCACTGGCATCAGGCTGACTGTTACCTGCATCATCTTCCCTGTTAACCTCGGGATCAACTTTCATTGCCGGGCTTCTTGGATTCTCATAACCAACAGCATTCAGCAGCTCAAGGGGTTGGGTTGTGTATGAGGCATCCCTAATGCAAGAAATAGAATTGCATATCAATGAGATGAGAAAATATACAAAATAATGGGTTGGCTTACAGAATATTATATACAAACCTTATGCTTTTCAATAATGTATCCCAATCATTTTCACTAAACTGATGGCCTCCAACTTCTATGAGATGCACCAGTGCACCCAAAGAAATGGACACAACAGTTTGATCAGTCTTCTTTGCACAGTCTAGAAGCAAACTCAGAAGTGGTGGAAGCATGAAACAAACCTCCTGCACCAGAGAAGTGGAATGCTACTCAAGAGAGGGGGGAAAAAAGATAAAATATTTCTACTGCCACCATTCATAAGAAAAAATCTGTCACCATTCATAAGAAAAAATCTCAGACAAATAATCTTGCCCCCTCGGCAAGTTAACGTATTCAAAATGACCTGAAACTTACTATTCCAATTACATTTTCCCATTTGCTATGAGATTTTTTTCAATGCACATGAACATCAAGATGCATTACAAAAAAGAACATTTTGCTGTCTCATATAGTATTTTTAAGCTCCCTTATGTAACAGTTGAAATAAAAAATTGATGCATCATGGTTTTACAGCCAAAATAAAGTAGCACTGGCACTTTATCCATCAACCAAAACCCACTGCTCATAAATGTGTGAATGAAATAGAAACATCAAGAATGCGACCATCTAGTCATCAGAGATTAAGATGCATTCAATTAATGATTTCACCTCATACACAACCGACTCTTAAAATGAAGTAGCCATGTGATTGAAACAAGGCTTGTGGCATTGTCAGCTATGCCTCAAAGCTTGGATAGCAACTAAGAATTAACATCGCTTTTGAATCATTTCCAAATACTTAGGACTATCAGTTCCACGTTTAACTGTCTGGGAAAATATTGGGAGTTCTTTCAGTGACAATGTCAGCTCGTGTAATCTTATCACAAAATTATCATGTTTGCAATCCCAGGTTATACAAGTTTCAAGACTCAAAACTAATCAGTAACTGATATGAGGTCTGACAAACCAGTCTAATAATGAACAGATAACTAGGGAAACTAAGACTTAACAAGTCAAACAAATGGAATACTTAACAGGCAGATGTCTTGAGATCTGCCCCCAACTCCGCATGTTCTCAGTACTATGTTTGTCTTAAATAGTCCATAGACATATATATATATATATATATATATATATATATATCAACAGCTCTTAAGAATTCATCACCTACTCCAAAGGATATTTTTGGTCACTTATGTAACAACTGACAGTAACCATTTCAAACATTATGCACACAGATCCGGAAGCACAGTGAATAACTGAGAAGAATCTGGGGTACCTTGTAGAAGGTGTTGAAAAGGTTGCACAGCAACTGAAGGGAATGTATACTGGTTTCCCTAAACCATTCGTCTTCTGAGGAGAACAAGCTCTCTTTCCCAGCATGTCTCACGTGGTCGAAAATAGGAAATAAGACACGGTGGAAAATGCTTTCCCAAAATGATGTTGAGAACTTGCTACCCCTTTCATTCAGCAAATCGAAGAGAACTTCTAAAGCACAACTCCTGACTTCAGGTCTTTGATCTGATGTTAAATCAGATAGACCAGCCAGCATGGGAAACCAATAATGCTCAGTTACATC